TTATATTTTCATATTTTATTCAATGTTCACAATTTATTTATTTATTCAAAATTCATTCTCTTGGATATTTATACCCAAATAGACTTTCACTGGCTAGAGCAATCTCTAACCAGGTTACACCAACATCAAAGCTATCGTTGCTATTAGCTAATGTTCCACTCAGCGATGGTACACATCAGTAATTGCATTAACAAGTAAACTTACTACAAAAGCCTTCTGTGCTTTCGTCTTATTACTATCGAAGAGTTTTGCAAGCACTCGTCCAGAGAATTTACAAGTTTATACATATTCCATAAGGAAAATTCTACAATTGCATTGAAGTCTTACCAACAAAAGATGAGATCTTGTTGAATCGAAACTTGGAAGAACAAGAAATTACACAGAGTAATGGTTCTACTCCTCTAATAGCGCACAACAACGCTCAGACCCGCAATGGTACATCTGTAATGCATGAAAAATAGCGTGACTTCATTTTTGACATTTACAAATGTAAAGTGTTGCACCTTAAAAACTTGGAAATATATACATTCATGAATTAGTTACTTGTATTAATTGAAAATCCATAAAACCCTAACAATATTTTTTCTTAAAAAAAAACTATAAAAATATAAATAAAATTAATCGTTAAATAAAAATATTTGATATTAGAATTTTATTGGAAAAATAAAAAACTTAATATTTTAAAGAAATACTTAAATACTTGAATGTTTTAACTTTTACATTATCATATAGACTCTCAAATTATTAGCCATTTTGGCTGAGAACTATGGTCTGCGAGGTACATAGATAGAATCAGTACCTCGCAGACTATAGTTCTCTATATGGCGCCGAAAATTTTTGGTGAAATGCGACGACATTTCACCAAAAATTTTTCGGCGCCATAGGAAGAATTGGAGGGTGTGAGATACTATTACATGCTATAGTACTCACACCCTCCAACTCCCAATCAAAATCGCATAAAATTTGCTACTTATCTTCAGATTACCTCCCATTATAAAATATATCATTGCTATCTCATTGTACTATATTTCCACCTATTGTATTTAAAAATATAAAATTTTTTTGAATAATATTTTTATATCTTGAATTTTCAAACAATATATTACAGATAATATAATGGGAATCTATCTCAACCTAGCCTTAAAGTACCAAACTCCTGCTTGCATTCTCACTCACAAATATTAAACATCCATCTCCAAAAAACTAAATTCTTCACAATTTTTTAAAATTGAGACATAAAAAACGTATGCATTCAATAATTTAAGATACTAACAATAATTAAAAACTTCAAAATATCAGATATTAACGTTTTTCAATTAAAAAAAATATCATTTTGCTTTTCAATTCGAACATAAATCTTAAATATTTTTAATTAATATCTGATTTACAGCATATTTATCCATTTATAAATCTGACAAATAAATGACAAAACCATCAGAAATAGTGTCACTTTTTGTCAAAAGTGAAGTCACACTATTTTTCATGACAACAACAATCTCCTCTTAATAGTGCACAACAACAAAGCGCACAACAGCAATGGACATCTCCTCTTAGTAGTGCACAACAACAGCAGCTCAGACCACAGCAATGGTAATCTCCTCTTATTAGTGCCAACAACAGCTCAGACCCAGCAATGGTACATCTCCTCTTAATAGTGCACAACAACAGCTCAACCCAGCAATGGTTTATCTCCTCTTAGTAGTGCACAACAGTTAAATCCTCAAGCCACTCCTTCAAACCAATCATCTGGTACATACAATCAAATTGCTCCTAATCCCATCAGTTCCGATCAATCAAGTCAACGTCCAACCCTCCTAATCCTCAATCTCGTCCGCACGACCAGTTTGTTGATATTCCACTTTCCCGTGGTAGACCCAAACAACCAGTTCCTGATGATCTCATGCAGGCCATTCTCAATTTATTCGAACAACATGGGCGACATGGTATCATCCCCACTTACCTTAGGCTTAATAAGATATAGCATTCGCCCATGAGCATGAACAAGATTTTGTTCGAATGAAAGATGGCCTGCTTCCAGTTATGAGCTCAACACAGGACTGGTTTCAGAATGTGCAACGTGAAACCTCTCAATCTTACTCTAAAGAAATCCCCGCTGACATTAATCAAGATGATAACCCTACTCCATATGCTATAAATTTACAAAATATCAAATATCTTCCCTCCCTCTACCTCAGGCTCCATCAAGGCATATGGTCGAAAAGGCTTTTATCATCTTGGATTAACACGTCCACGGGACCCAAGAGACCTAAAGGGAGGAACAAGATACGAGGCTTTACTTCCAAATCAAATCTGGCACGTTGACATTCACTTTCCAATAAACGCAGAAGTGAATATTGTATGAGTAATAGATGATTGTACCAGAATGGTTTTGGAGTGGCAGCATTCTCCTCAAACATGCAAATCAGACCGTTAAGGTAATTGAGCGGGCCATAAAACGTTTTGGTCCCCCTCATACCATATGGCTGATAATGGAGGAGAGAATAGAGTGAATTCCTACAAGCGATGAGATGCAAAGGAATTCGAAATGTCTATATTGGCCACATTGCCCTTACCAAAACGGTAAGATTGAGCGATTGTGGCCCAATATAGAAAACCGCAATCTAACATGGAGTAAAATTCAGAGTTGGGTCAATTCCTATAGCTCCAAGCCCCATGCCGCACTACCGACACGTCTTCTCAATGGAAGGAAATCAATTATAGTCCAAATGAATTATGGATGAAGGGGCCCATTTGGAGACCAGGAATGCCTGCCAAATGGGTCGTTGATGGAGTTACCAAGACTTTCTCCGGATCAGTACATGCTAGAGAAATACCAGAACTCCAAGATGAGGAAGAAGAAATCGATAATAAAGATGGTAAAAAAGAGAAGGAGGGACAAAGTGAAGAATATGAAGGTGGATATGAAGAAGAATATGAAATAAATTATGAAGAAGATAATGATGAATAAAATATCACTTTTTATATTTTTGACACGTAAAGTTATCACTTTTCTGTCAAACTGTTTTACGTATCTAACACGCACCAAAGTATTTGAGCTTGTGGAATGCTTTCTTCTATTGCTTGAGCTATCTGTGGAGCACAGTCCATGCTAATTATTCTGGCTCAATTGTTACCATCTGAGATAGGCGCACACGCAAACTTGAATGTTTTGATAAGTGTCTGGACAAAAGAAATATAAAAAAGGGAAAATGTGAAAATCTTTGATTTTGCCAGTAAATGCATACAATGGAATGTTTGATCGCAACAATTTATAGGCGTGTCTATATGAAATGTCTTGATACATATGCGCATAAGCTTTGCCTTCAAAAGGCGCGTAATAGAAACACATATTATTGTCTGAGACTTCAAATGCAATGAGATATCTGGAGATTCTTCTTGTACTGTCTGAACAAAGATTTGCAATGAACACAACATCGTCAGGAGAATATCTAGTTTGAAGAGCATGTATTCTCTCTGCAAATCGTTTGATTGCACGTGGTTTTGAGCGAACATCTCTGGAATGGACGGACCTTAAGAAGAATTTCAAGATCTTTGAATGCATTTAGCATGCTATCGCTCTTTGATTGTCATCTGTGGAAGTAATGTTCTAAATATTGCGATAAAAGACAGACGAATATTGACTTTTGTCATTTGGGGCGGAATGATCATGTTCTTCAACTATTTGATTAGTTTGTATTTATTTTGATCCAAGATTGCAACATTAAAAGTGTCAGGACATTTTTGGATATTTGCAGTGGAATGAAATCTGAGACTTTTTTCCTGACAGTTCACCATATCCATACTGTGCTTGTATTTCTTGTTTAACTCCAAATTTACAAAGATCCATAACAGTAAAGATAGTTTCTTCTTCTAATTCCATTTGAAATTGAAATGAAAATTAAAAATTCAGAAATTTGAATAGATTTGGTCTGTAATTAAATGAGAATAGCAGTTTGTTCGTCATTGTTTGAGCAAGAGTATTATGGAATATATGATGGATTTGAGTTGCATATAAAGAGTGCAAAAGGATAAAGAGAGAAATTTTTGTTAGATTATTATTAATTTAATTCTTTATTTTTTAGGATTGTTAGCTTTGTAAGATTGCTTTCTCACAAGAGAAAACAAGTATAAGGTTTAAGCTGTATGTATTAAAGTTTATAATTATTTGATTTTTTTAAAAAAAATATAAGATTTAACTTTTAAAGGTATATAATTATGATTATCTATAATCTATTAAAATCAGCTTTGGATGCTGTAATGCTATTTTTGAATTTTTGTACATGGAGCTAAATTGCTCCATTGTTAGATAGATGTTTAAAAATTTTGCACACTAAAAATGCGAATATTAAAAAATTTAAGGTATAATTATGATTATCTTTCTTTATCTTGCTAATTCTGTATGCACTATTTGTCTTTGAGACATTCCTATGTAAGTTAGAAGTTTAAAAAAAATGCAAAAAAATTGAATACTTTACTGGCTGGGCAAATTTGTCGCCGCCCCGTGTTTGACAGTCATTTTGGTGGATTCAACTACACCAAAGTATTTTCCAAAATTGTTATTAGAACAAATAATTCATTCGAAATTTTAAGTGAAAAATTAAAAATATAAGATGGGAAAAAAATTTCGATTTCAATTTGGAGTGAATTCGAGTTTTACTAAATATGCTATGATATCATAAGTTGATAGATTAATAATGACATATTTATTCTTAATGCACAGGCAATTTGTTAGTTCGATTTGATTCATTAAGATTTATCTTTTGTTGGTATATTTTAAATTATTTTAATAAATGTGAAGGTCATTTGGCCGAGTGGTCTAAGGCGCCAGTTTAAGGCACTGGTCCGCGAGGGCCTGGGTTCGAACCCCAGAGTGACCATTTTTTAATTTTTAAAATTCTTCTAACAGCCTCTTCTCAAAATCCTGTTCTTTTTCGTACCATGAACATTTTTTTATAATTGGATACAAAAGAATATGTTTATTCAATCACAACACGTAACAATTATTTGAAATTCGATGGAATCTTAACACGAGAAACGCAATGGAACAATTCTGTTCCGTATTTTCTTCTCATGAATCGTGTAGAGATCAAATTCTGGTCAGCGAGCATATTTCTGACAATCAAAGCATAGCTGTAGAGATCTGATTCTGAGTAAGTTGTGTAACCTGCTAATGCGTTTGTCCAACGGCTATCACCACTTAAAATCCTTGTAACCATGACAGCAATAGCAGTCTGCTTTGAGTACTTAACACCAATAAACTGATCGCTTGTTTGCATGATTTCGATAATGTATCTTGCAAGTAAGACTAGCTCTTGTGTTTGTCCAGAGATACGCATTAACTGAGTAATATAGAAAAGAGGTGTTCCGAATGTGATTTCAAAGCCGATGGTATTGATTAAATCAATTTCTGCGGCATAGAGTTCTTTTGGTGAAAAAGAACGCTCATTTTCTCCAAAGCAGTGATCTGCCATGCGAATGAGATCTCCAATGCGCGGTTGATGATAATCCTCAACCTTTGAGCCAATGAAAAGTGCAGCACAGCTGTATGTCTTAAGTTTGTTCTTTGGAAGCGATTTTATTGACATGTATCTGTCCATGATACCGTAAGCAATGTAAAGACCGTTTGTTCCAAGTCCAAGGCGATAATGGACATGGGACATATTATCAAAAGCAATTCCGCGATCAATTGACTTTATTTCATCTTGTCTTAATGAAATTGGCTTTTCGGAAAGTTCGTTCTGACATAATGAGCGCCAAATAATGTGCTGATATTCTGTTACGTCTAATGGATTGCTTGGGTCACCAAATGAACATTCTTTATGCGAAAACTTTTCGACGGAACGTGATCTGCATAAGTTTGGTCTTGCGCTTTGGATTTGGTTCTTTTCTTCATGAATAGCTCTTGCATTCGAAACATTAGATAGAGGCAATCTATTGTATGCCTCACCAAGAATGCGATGTGATGAAAGTCCAGCTAGTGCGTGAGAACTGCGCATAGTTCTTTGATAAACGTATAATTGTTAAACGTACACTTATTTTACAAATATTGTTTATCTTTTGTTGTAAACAGAAATTCATCAAAAGTGACACCTCAGAAAAGCTAAAATATTGAATTTTTGGAACTTTTGATAGAGCACGTTTTTAAATATTAATTAAAGTAAATGTATATTTTGTAAAGATTCTTTTTAATAAAAAATAAAATTTTGAAGAAGAACACAAAATCTTCTGAAAAATAATATCACATAAACTCATATTATTTTCTAATATATAACTATTTTATATAAAAATCAAATTCAATGATCTTAAAAGCGAAGGATAAACCTCAAAATTTACGAATATAATGAGTGGGAATATAATGCTTATCTATCATAAAACCATATGAAATATCAATTTTTGCTTTACGCCTAATTTTTGACGACAATTAGCAAAAAATGTTAAATGTTAACACTCAGTCCATTTGAATATGAAAAATAAAATTGACTTTGATTAAATGTTTTTATTTATCATGCAATTCTTCTTGCGACCAAAGATTTGAATAAAAGTTCAAAAAATAAGATAGCTTAAAAAATAATATACGGTAGTGTTTACTAATAGATGAATAGTATATAAATTCTATTAAAATGGATTTGATCCAAAAAATATAAAACCAAAAATAATGTTATAATTTAAATGAAGAAGTAATTTAAAACGATTTTATTTATGATCAAATTTTATATATTTTTTGGATCAAATCCATTTTAATAGAATTTATATACTATTTATCTATTAGTAAACACTACCGTATATTATTTTTTAAGCTATCTTATTTTTTGAACTTTTATTCAAATCTTTGGTCGCAAGAAGAATTGCATGATAAATAAAAACATTTAATCAAAGTCAATTTTATTTTTCATATTCAAATGGACTGAGTGTTAACATTTAACATTTTTTGCTAATTGTCGTCAAAAATTAGGCGTAAAGCAAAAATTGATATTTCATATGGTTTTATGATAGATAAGCATTATATTCCCACTCATTATATTCGTAAATTTTGAGGTTTATCCTTCGCTTTTAAGATCATTGAATTTGATTTTTATATAAAATAGTTATATATTAGAAAATAATATGAGTTTATGTGATATTATTTTTCAGAAGATTTTGTGTTCTTCTTCAAAATTTTACTTTTTTATTAAAAAGAATCTTTACAAAATATACATTTACTTTAATTAATATTTAAAAACGTGCTCTATCAAAAGTTCCAAAAATTCAATATTTTAGCTTTTCTGAGGTGTCACTTTTGATGAATTTCTGTTTACAACACATATGGTTTTATGATAGATAAGCATTATATTCCCACTCATTATATTCGTAAATTTTGAGGTTTATCCTTCGCTTTTAAGATCATTGAATTTGATTTTTATATAAAATAGTTATATATTAGAAAATAATATGAGTTTATGTGATATTATTTTTCAGAAGATTTCATTCTATATGCCTATGAAAAGTACTCTCAAAACCAACTTTTTCCTAATTATAATTAAATCTAGAATATTGTATTATGCTTAGTATTATTTCATTTTTCTCATTCAATTTAGAATTTACAAATGTCAAAAAATTGAGAGCTGTCACTTTTGATGAATTTCTGTTTATTACACTTTATCCATATTTGATTAATATTAGTTAGTGTTTAGCTATTATTGCTGAATAATTGAATTCTTCTCAATAATTTGTGCGGAATTTCTAAGGGTTATATTGAAAGGGAAATCAGAGAGAATTTATAAAAGATATCCATGCTTTAATTTGAAATGATCACCTTTTTACAAAGATTTATTATCGATATCTAATTTTTTTAAAGAATTCATTTCCTAGATAATAGGAAAGTAGTCATTACATATAATATTATTAATACAACATTATTTATTAATAATGACCATTAGATTTTTAAATTCAATGGTTAACGATTTATATAATGAGCTTATGCAGTTAAGCAAAGATTATAACGATAATTTTAATTCGTTGTACAGACTACATACTTACAATGAAGATGAAATCAACAATATTTTCCAAGTTATCAAAAGAGAATTGATACAATCTAAAATGTTCTTACCATCTCAGCTCTTAAAAATACTTTCAACGGCTTCAAAATACAATTGCAGATATTTTAAGTCATACTGGTCCCTATTTAAGAAATTATATGAAGAGTATCACCCAAGAGTCCCCAAACACACATCAATTCCTTTTCTTTACTTTCTTTATAAAGAATTCGGCATATTAATTGACTACGATATTGTTAAGCTTGAATCCCAAAATTTTTCTTTAGATGTTCATGAAAAAGATTCTATTCACAGTGCAATCATGACCGATGACAAAGAGTTATTTATATCTCTTACAGAAAAAGAAGGTTTTAATGAAAGGCAAAACCTGAAAAGTGAATTTTATCCAGAATCAAAATACGGATATTCTTTACTTGAATTATGTTGTTATCATGGCGCAGTCAATTGTTTTAAGTTTCTTAGAACAAAGTTTAAACCATTGATTAATTCAAATTGCCTGAAACTTTCATTTTTAGGGGGAAATCCGGACATAATTAATGAGTGTTTGAAAGAGACAAAACCATACGATAGCTGCATGGAATATGCAATTATTTCACATAATATCGACTTTGTTACTTATCTTATGAACGAACACAATTTGAAAATCGAAATGGAATATTGCCATAAATATAATAATCTACAAGCGTTTTTAGTTTATTTAGATACATCAAAGAATTACAAGAAGTGTTTTCCTTTTTCAGTTCGTTTCAATTTTCCATCTCTTTGCGAATATTTGATATCTCATGGTGTAGATATAAATACACGTGATAAAAATTATTATTCAGCCTTTTTTCATGCAGCACAATATGGGAACAGATTAATTGCAGAATTTCTTATTTCACACAATATAAATATGGATAATTGCAAATCTAATTTTCAAATTGCTGTACAATCTGATAATAAAGATATTGCTGAGCTTCTTATATCGCGTGGTATTGATGTTAATACAAAATTTGATTATAAAAAAACAGCTCTTCATTATGCAGCACTTTCAGACTGTGCTGAGACAGTAAAAATGCTTATTTCACATGGAATAAATATAAATGATGTTAATGAACTTGGAGAAACAGCTCTTCATTATGCTACATATTATGATAACATAGAAACCGTCAAGATTTTACTTGAAAGCGGTGCAAATATCAATACCAAGAAAAACACTGTAGCTACAGCTCTCCACAATGCAGTTGATCTAAATATTGAAATTGCCAAATTACTAATCGCTCATGGCGCTGATGTCAATACTTTCGATAATAATTCAAAAACACTTCTTCATAAAGCAGCGCAAAAAATCGGTATGATATGGTTGAACTTTTTATATCAAATGGAGCTGATGTTACAGTAATAGACGAACAAGAAAAAACTCCTCTACACTATTTAGCAGAATATTTACTTTGGAATAAATATAAATATGATCCACCAATATTTGGCTATGTAAAAATAGCTGAAATATTAATTTCAAATGGAACTGATGTGAATGCTAAGGATATTAATGGAGCAACCGCTCTTCATTTAGCAGTTCAATCATCTAATTTTGATTTAATACATTTTCTTATATCGAGTGGTGCTGAAATCAATGCCTTAGATAAATTTGGAAAAAACGCACTTCATTATGTTTCATCAGATGAAGTAGAAATTTTAATTGAGGAGCTTATTTCAACTGGAATAGATATTAATGCAAAGGATCATGAACAAAAATCTCCTCTTCATAATGCTTTGATAAAGGGATATGAATTAATAGGGGAAATTCTTATTGAACGTGGCGCAGATGTCAATGCAAAAGACAATAAAGGAAGAACAGCCTTACATTATGCAACAATGAATAACCTTTCTGTTATTATTACAGATCTTTTGTCACACGACGCTGATATCAATGCAAAAGATTATAAAGAGAGAACTGCTCTTCATTTGGCTTCAAAACACTCAAATCACGGAATTAGAGAGCTTCTGATTTCTAATGGAATAGATGCTGATGCCAAAGATATTTACGGAAAAACTGCTCTTCAATTATAGAAAAGGAAAGCAAAGAAAATCATTTCCATGGACTAATGGAATTTGATGATTAATGATTGGCACTTATTAGAATTATTTTATACAAACTCTAAATAAAAATATTTTGATAATTGTTTAAGTTGTTTATAGAAGTTTTATTATTCAATTTTTGAGTAGTATATGTATGCGGGTTTTGTGACTTTTTTTGTAAACGTAAGAATTCACACAATATTGACCGATTTTGTAAGTAATTTTCATACAATCGATAAAATAAATGTATGTTTCTTACGCTTTTTATTCTTACGTTTTGAAATAAATCATGATTTAAAAATTTTCAGAATCGTAAGAAATTTTCACAAACCCTTTACATAATGAAGTAAAAAATTTAAAAAATAAACTTTAAAAATTCATGTCTTACGAAAAATTAACATTAATTTTAAAATAATTTATTTTATCTTTTATAAAAGAAGCTATATATAGATGATGTCAGATATTCCGCGATTAATTAAACATTGTTTAAATCATGAATGGGTTAAACTTCAATTTAAAAATGAAGATTGTGAATTATTAAATGAATATGAAAGCCAAAATAAGCTAATGAGGTATAAATATAATGATAAAGAATATTTAATTTCATGGAATCAATGGAGTCATAATCAAAGACCTCATAAACGAGAAGAAGAAATTGAAAATAATTATTTTCATGAATGAAAGATTCACTACCATAATGAAATAAAAAAAAAGTTTTAAAAAATAAACTTTAAAAATTCATGTCTTACATTTTTGAATAATTTATTTTTTTAATTCGTAAGAAATGAGTGAATCAAAATTCGTAACTGTGAATCAATTAATGGATACACTTTCACCAATCCTCACCCAGGTTAAACAAGTAGACGTTTATTTTGATGATTGCGTACAAAGTTTATTTTATAAAGGTAAGTTTAATATTAAACCTATTGCTTTTGCATTTGATGGTAAATTAATCGAAAATTCAAAAATTTGGGAATTAATTCCAGATATTGAATTTATAACAAATATTAAGGATAAATGGTTTAAACAACAAAACCACCTCACTAAAGTTCTTTGTAGATTAATGATTAAAACTGAGGAAAAAGAATTTAACGGGTTTAAATATCATCCATGTAAAATTTTAGAACTTGGTAACGAAAAACTTCAGAAAAAATTAAACGATAGACTATCAAAAGATAAAGTTGAAAGAGTAAATAAACTCGCTAAAGGTAATGGTAATGATGAAGAAGAATTTGATGAGTTCAACATAGAACTTTAAGAAACTAATGATTATTTGAATTTATGAAATCAATTATCTGATTTATTCTTTCTTCAATCTCTTCTATTCTTTTTGTTAAATCATCTATTTTCATTAATGAGGTGATTCTTGATTGAGGAATAGATTTCAAACTAACCACCCCTTTATTTTTGAAATTTTGAATCCATCAACTTTAAACATTTTATTCAATTTACATGTTGTCAATTCTTCAAATAATTTTTTATTGTTAGCATAATAATCATTAAATTCTTCAACAGATGAAAAAATTTTTATTTCAGTAATTGGTTTAACAACGTTTATTTTTTGTTGAACATTTTCACTTTCATTTATTTCTTCCTCCTCTGTTTCATTTATTTTTAAAATCGGTTTCATTTATCATTAAATAAAAATTAAAATATAAGTGATGAAATATATTTTTTAATTAATATTAAATCAGAAATGGCGGCAGGATTCTTTAAAAAATTATGGGATGGAATTAAGAAAGCTGCGGGTTGGGTTCATAAAAATATTATTAAACCCGTTGCAAACTTTTTGGCACCAGTAGCGAAAACGGCGGGAACTATCATAGGAGGAGTATTAGGTACTAAAGCAGGTAATCCGGCGATGGGAGCACAAGCAGGTAACGCAGTTGGTGGAATAGCTGAAGGAATACTTAATAAAATAGGAGGTAGATAGTGGAAAAATAAATATTATTTTTATCTTAGTATCGGTTGTAGTCTTTGATAAACTTTTTCTCCTTTATTTAATATTTCTCTTATTGGGGCAGCTTTTGGCGTTATTGATTCAGCAACGTCACTAATTGCTTCTTTATTCTTAAATATCCAATTTGCTCCTTTCTTCATTGTTTCCCAAACTTTATGCGCTCCTCTTTTTACTTTATCCCACAGTTTCTTAAATATACCTGCAGCCATAGTTGATTATTTCATTAAAATTAAAAATTCATTTTCATCTTTTAATTTTGATTTTTTATTTATTAATAAATGACGACTAACTATTTAGTGCCAAACACTAAACCGATTAATGGAAATGTGTTTCATTCATTCGAAAAGATAAATGAAATATTCGCAAAGAATGACGGAAGAAGATATTATAGAGAACTTGAAAGTTCATGCTATGACTCTGATACTCCATATTTTGATGATAAACAAACTCATTTAAGAATTACAAATCCGGCTCATGATGTGAACCAATTAGGTGACACATATATTAAACGCAAAGTTAAAGCAACTCTAGTTTCAAATAAAGCTTTCACATGTGATGCCGCTTTTAAATGCATGCGTTTATTCGTTGGTTACAAATCATCAAATCAAAGCTTTAAACAATTAGAAGTAGAAACCGAAAGAGGTGATGCTGGTTATCTTCAGATGGATTGCGCCCGTGAATCTTTCGCATTTGCAACATATAAACCAAAATCAGAAAGGAAAGTTAAAAAGTTTGTTCATTCGTTATATAATAATGTTCAAAAATATGATAACTCAGTATGTGGTAAATATATTGACCCTTCAGAAGTTTTCAAGAAAGCAAATGAAGAAGTTGATGTCACTTTTGATATGATTATTCCGGTAAATGATTTGTTAGCATTTCAGGCGTTCGATGATTATCCTAAATCATTTGGTGAAATCATTCTTAAATATTATGTTTTCAAGGATACTTTAGTATTTTGTCAGGTTGACCCGTTAAGAGTTGCTGATTTACAAAATTACGTTTATGAAAAGATAACTGATGAAAATTATGAAAAGATTATGAATCATGTTTATAAATATGATCGCAAATTCCAACAAATCGGACTTCCTACCAAATTAATTACAAGCTTAGCCGCTACATCTGCTGACGCAACAGTTGATGACGTTATTATTTCATGCACAAAGATGGAAGTTTTAGAGGATAAATGCATTACACCAGGATACGGTTTAATTGAAGAATCAGTTAAAGCAATACCACGTTTATTCAGTAAGGAAGATCCATTCATGATTCCAGCTCAACATATTGACGTTCGTTCACTAAATGGAGGTTGCATCACTCCTGAAGGTATCAGCTCAGATTTCTCATACGCTCTTCATAACGTTACAGATGTTGTGTTAACATTTCCGAAGAATGCAATGCAAAGAACGGTTTTAGAAAATCCAATGCTTCGAGGTCTTCAGGTCACTATAGATTCCAGAAACTTCCCCGATCAAGCGATGACCACAGTGGGCGACATATTCTTTACACGTATGCTTCAAGCTTCTGATTTAGATGGAGTGAATGAATGCACAGAAGAATACGAGGACTCATTAACTAGACCATTGAATGATGATAATGGCACACCATTAGCTAGAACATGGAAAGACCAAACTTCATTCTTATGCACTATTCCAGTTCAACGTGATGGAGCGGGTATATTCTTTGATGGATTAGAAACTTTCAACTCACAAGTTACAGTACAAGTGAAAGCTTATCCAATCATTCAGGGTGAAAATGACACTTACTGTTCAAAGGTGACAAATCCTCCTCAGGTTTGGTTTACTAGGACTACATATTGGACATGGACACCGGATGAAGGTTTGAAATATCATCCAACAGGTACACCACCACAGTATAGAAGTTCATATGATGAAATATTGATGAATAGAAATGTTTAAAATTATAAATTTATTTTTGATTAAATGGATTTAAATTCATCCACCCCTTATGAAGAATTAGCGGGAGTATATAATACATACGTAGATGATATGATTAATGAAGCATTGAGTGATAATAGAAATGCTCTATCTAAGGAAAAATTAATGAAAATTCCATATTCTGAATGTTACTTAAATTCAATCACTGCAGCAATTGGTAAACAAAATAAAGGTAAAACATTAACGATATTAAAACAAATTATCATTATTGCTAACACTTCCCCATATTCACATGTGTTAATTTATATCAACCGTTCAGGTTCACCTTCAGATGATACATTTGAATCTTTAAAGCATTTAATCAAAATTCCAATTATTTATTTATCACAAGAAGAAGCAGAAGATTATTTAAAAAACTTTTTAATGTATAAAGAATTATATAATACAATCAAGAAGCAAGGATTAGAGGATAAAATTATTGATAAACAACGGGATGAATTATTTGAAACACTTTCTATTTCAAATTTTGATAGAGAATTTTTGCATTCACTCATTTTTCTAGATGATGCGGTGAAATCAAAACTAATAACTAATGAGAAATCATATTTTAATCAGTTATTAACTCAATGTCGACACATTCAGTGTTCATTCTTTATGGCTGTTCAATATTTCAAAGCATTAAGCACAAACATTAAATCAAATCTATCAACCCTTTTCATTTTCAGTGGGTTTAGTCGTCAACAGTTGAACGTTATGCTTTATCAAGTGAATTTACCAATGAGTATTAATGAACTTTACACACAATATCAACAATTAGGTGAACATGGAAAAATAATAGTTGATTTAAATAAAGGTTCCATTAAATTTGATTAACTTTTTATAATTAATTTTTATTTTTTATTTATAATTAAACATGACAGAAATAGCAAATCTTCTACAGGTTCCATTAAAACAAGGGACAAACAAAAGGGGTGCATATAATAGAACTATGAAAGTTCCTGATGGAATGAAAGAATTAGTCCACATTGTTGCCGGTCTTCAAAAAGATGTTAAACAAATGAGAAACGTTTTAACATTACCAGAAGCTCAAGCATATGCCAAACGTCAAGGTCCAAATTGGAAAGCACACGAAGCAGACATTACAGGACCAAATGGAAAGCCTGATGGTATAAATGAAGTTTTCGTTACTGATGGTCAAGGTAATATTAAAGTCATAAATGGGTATAAATTAACTATATCTGATTATCCTAAACGTAAAGCATATAATGAACGTTATCCTATGCAATTTGATGAAAATGGAAAAGCTGTTAAACAATACATTGGAGAAGGTGAAAATGGTCCAATTAATTCATACCGTCATTATCCATATTCTTATTTCAATGAAGAATTAAATGCTATTGAAGAGGGACCGGATGGATTACCACGATATGTTAATCAGTTTGATGGTCAATATGCAAATTTGAGACCTGAAATTCCAGCTAAGAAATTCTTTAAAGTTGCTTTATTCGATCCAGTGTTCAATGAACAGAAAGAAGCAATGAAAGCAGAATTTAAACCAATTCAAATGGCAAGAATTTCTTCATCTTCACTTTCAGAAGCGTTCAAGGAATTGATAAAGAAACCACTTTATTCTCAACAAGGTTATAACTTTGATTTAATTAAAGAAAGTGAAAGACGTAAATTAGAAAAATCAGATGGTTTTAAGAATGCATGTAATGAAATGATTAAAGATATTGTAAATGATAAAATAAGACTGGAAGAAACTCAAAGCAATATCAATAACATAATTGGTGCAGTTACAAAGAAAGTATAAGCAAACAAGGATGAACCTTGGGATATTACCGTAACAACTAAATAAAACTTTAAATATATTTTTCTTTTTTTATTCGATTATAAATGAGAAGACGTTTCACAAGTCAAAAGAACACTAACGCAAAAGCAGAGATTACGGTTGGTTATAACGTAAATGATGATAAATCACGAATTATTCAAAATGTTAAAGTTAATGTTAGCCCTGAATTAACAAGGTCAGCAACTCAACCAAATTTATTAACTCGTGACTTACCGAAAAAGGAGGAGAATGGAGACCCAATCATTTTATCTGAACCCAGTAAAGAACCCGTTGAAATTCCCACCTATCCAACATACCCCCCGCCTCTTTCATCAAACATCGAGAACTCAGGAATCTACGATTCCAGTCGCAATGCGCCATATAAAATAGACATTAATTCAGAATTAATGAAAATTTACCGTGATATAATAATTAATAATTATGATTCAATAATAAATTTAATTGACCAATCTGGTTTAATTATTTTACCTTATGAATCATTAATTCACATTATCGCCATTCTTTGTGATGTTCAAGATTCAGACGTTAAGATTCAATTTTTCATAATGATGAGGTTTCATGCTGCGGAACAGTTGCAAAAATAAATCCTATAAAGGATATTAGCACAATTAAGATATCAAAGAACGGAACAACAACTGAACTTCATTTAACATATAATGATATTTATAATAAAATAGTTGATGAATATAAAATATCACTTGAAAAATTCTTTGTTAAGGCTATTTAATATTCAAGCATTAACATTATCGAATAATAATCCTTTGAATCATAATCAATAATAATTGACCTTTCACCAGTTTCTATCGTTTGTTTTATTTCTTTTTGTTCCCCACTATCTGGATCGGTCATTGTAATTGTTTTTGTTATAGTATCAGCTTTATCTTTAACTTCAATCTTTTTTCCATCAGGATATTTAAACCAAAATTCCAAAAATTCAATATTGTCAATCTGTTCATATTTTAATCTATCAATTACATTTTTAATACCATCTGAAAATCTTATGAAATGGTCATTATATGGGTTTGATTGAACTAAATTTGAATGAAGTGAAATATAACCCGATGATGAATATGACATTGACTCATATTTTCTGAAAACACTAAAATTTATAACATGAATGAATTTCTTATTCGTTGAATTTATGAATTCTTGAGGTAATCTTATCCTAGTTTTATTTATCACTGGAAAATAACGCTTTACCATATTTTTAATCGTAATAAAAAAATGTCAATTATCAATATTATTTCGAATAATAACTGTGAATTAAATTTAACAGTTAGCGGAATTTATAATGTTACTCTCGTTTCTGTGAGTGGTAAATTTAATCCCATTCTTTTAGACCCTTCAGATTATATATCATTTATTAAAGATGACCTTGAAAAAACGTATGATATGTATATAAATAATATGATAACGAAATGGGATATTAACATGATTCTAAGTTATTTAAATGAATCATTTATCGTATGGTATGAAGAAAATTTTAAATCAAAACCTGATAAACTTTTTGAACTTGATGAAATAAATAACCTTATTAAATTTCCGCTGAAAATTAAATTTTGTACTCCTCATCTTCGTTCATTGTTGGGGATATTAAATTTTGAAAAAGATGTTGGGGATGTTTTGTATTCTGACACTGGTTCCAATTTCATTTTAATCAAATGTGATAAAGTTAATACCCCAATGAGATTTTCACATCAAACATTAGACCCTAACTCTTACCCATCAATACAAAACATTTTATCCATCAACTTAAACACATTTTCTTTATCATATCCGTTTCAATTATCTGGGAATTCATTTATTCTTCATTCAAAAGATTTATCAAATATTAAATTTAGAGTAACTGACCTATTTGATTGTGATTTAGAATTCATGAATGAAATATTATGGCAATTTCAAATAGAAAAAATAGCTGATGAGATAACGGATTAAATATTTATTTTTAAATCATAATAAATGATTAAACAACAGCAACCACAGACCATTACATACGCCATATATGCATATAATTCAAAGACGGCAGAACAAACGCAAAGGTTGAAATATGGAGATTTGGAGATAGTATTGAAAAATGACCATTTCGAATTCGTTTGCAAAGGTGGTGCAGTGATATCAAATATAAAAGAAATTTTATTTATGAATTCAAAAATTAAAGGTATAACGGATGATATAACATCAATTCCACCAGAAGAACAGAGATATTACGCATTAAATGCATTTCCTAAAGTTTTGAAGATTGGAAGATTTAATTTAAATGAGGAATTCATAAAAGGTTTCCTAAATGACATAATGAAGAAAGCGGATAAAACATATGTGGATGCTGCGTTATGGAAGAAAGCAGATAAGGAATATGTTAATGAAAAAGATAATGAAATTATAGAAAGGGTTGAATGGTATCATGAACGGACATCAAAGATTTTAAAAACTAAAGCCGATACAGGATGGGTTTCAGGATGTTTAGACCTTAAAGCAGATAAAACTTATGTTAACGATGAGTTAGGGAAGAAAGCAGATAAGAACCATACACACGATTTCTTCGCAACTGTTGGTATAGAAAATATTGAAGGAACGGTTGAAGGAGCTGATGGAACTGGTGGGGATGTATTGTATTGGAAACCTCCTAACTTTCCACAAGGTTTAACATCGGAGGAAGATATAACGACGATGAAATACATTAGATGTAGAAATGTTTTTGTCATGGAGGATGAAAATAAAGTTAAATTCACTGCTCAAGATTTATATGATAAAAAAGCTGACAAAACAGAGCTTCAAACATTAAAGACAGAAATACTTCAAACATTATATCCTATAGGTTCTATTTATATGTCAATGAACTCTACCAGACCAGAAGTAGTACTTGGTTTTGGAACTTGGACTCAAATAGTCGACAGGTTTTTGTATTGTGCAAACTCTTCAAAGGAAACAGGTGGAAGTAAAACGATTTCAGGTGAAAATTTACCTGCACATAGTCACTACGTAAGTTTAACTACATCTCGAGAAGGTGGGCATAGGCATAAATATTGGGGTTGGTCAGGAATGACAAAAGGTAAAGGATATGATGTTAAAGACGACGTTAAGTTTGCTATAAATGGTTACTGGGATGACACTTGGGGAGAAGGAGACCATACACATCACGTTTCAGGATATACACAAACAACGGGACAAAGTAAAGAATATATGCCACCTTACATGACTATATTCGCATGGTACCGCATTTATTGAATGAACAAAATATATTTTATGTCTGTAATTAATTAGGTAATGAAGTAATGGATGAACTACAGAAATAAATGTTTACGTTAATGTTTACGTTAATGTTTATGTTAATGTTTACGTTAATGTTATCAGTTCTTCAAAAATAAGTCATTATTGAATAACTGATAACAAAATTTTATTTTTATCATAAATGAATACTCCACAAGCTCAAAATTTACCACGAATCATAACAAGGGAGGAAATGATAAAAATGATGCAAGAACATGTTAAAAATAACAAACCACTAAAATTGAGAAAATGTGGTTATGCGGTAATGATGGAAAGAGAGATGTTGTCAAAGAGGAATAAAAATTAAATTTGGATTGAGTTTAAAAATTCATCTTTATTAAATTCATCTCTTCCAATCAATTTATTTATTCTATTAAATTCTTTTATTTTTGTTTCACTCAGTTTAAGGATTGAACGGTAAGTTTCTAATTTTTCGATTATTTCTTTATTGTTTTCAACCCCACCACATTGCGGCTTCTTTTTGTAATAGCATATTTTTGATTTAATTCTGTTTAGTTTCTTTTTATATTCATCGTCTGGACTCTTGACTACTTTGTTGTCACTCATTTCTTACGAAATAAAAAAAAATTAAATATTATTTAAATATAATGGAGTAATAAAATAAATCGGAATTTCTATTAATTTATTGTCAACTTCAACTAATGCATTGCCGTTAATATATCTAACAAATTCAGCTATTGTGTCAAATCTTCGTCTTCTTTTTGTCATTGATTTATTAGTTTTTCCATAATCGAGATGAATCAAAACTTTATTTCCTTGTTTAAAATTCATGAGCCCCGAATTAATTTGTTCACGTTTAACATCATTCAACCTTTCCATTTGCTTTCTAATATATTCCCATTCTTTTGAAATATCATTTTTCATTTCCACAGGTTTCATGTTTATAGTTCTATGCCATGTATTATTATAATAATATACTAACTGCTGTATGATGGAGTCATGATTTCCATCCCAGTATATCTGACCGTTAACCCCTAACGCATCTCTAAGAGTTCTCATTACCGCATCAACTATTTTATTATGAAACGTATATGGAGAGGATGAAAAGAAAAAATTAATTTGTGGGAAATAATGAGTCATAGCTGCCTGAAATCCTTTATCACCATCACCCCTTATATTATCTACTCTTTCATGATCTAGTAAGTATTGAATAGCTCTTCTTGTTTCCTGTTCTGTTTTCCCTTTCACTGGAATGCAATATAAATATCTAGTGTTAATGTTAATGGCAAATAAATAAGTAACTTTTCCTTTTGAATATTCCAGATGATCGATTTCGTATGAATATGGATATGGTGCAAATGAAGGGCGACTAAATTTTTCCTTTAACGGTTGAATTTTCGGGTCAATTGGTTTATTTAATATTTTGAAATCCTTTTTAAAATCTTTTTGCTTCTTTAATGTTTGAAATGGATATAATAAAGTGAATGATGAAGGATTAACTGAAGGAGGAGGAGGTACTGTCGTTGGAGGTTTAATTTTATCTGCTTTGATTTTGGATTTCATTCCTTCCTTCATTAATTCTGGATGTATTCTATTCATTTGTTTTAAATATGCTGTATATAAAGGTTTGATATACTTTCCTGCTTCGAGTTTATGTTGAAGGATGAATTCCAAAAGTTGATCTTCATTTAAAAGTCGGGCTGAATGTGGTTTAACTAATGAATCATAAATTAAAGCTTGTGCATCATTTATGGTCTGAAGGACCTGGGTGTTTTGCACCTTTGGTTTTTGTTCCTTTGGTTTTTGTGGCTCAGGATTATATAATTTATATAATTCATCAATATCTTCTTCTGTTAATACTTTATTTTTGAAATCTTTCAACTGTTTAAGTTGTGATTTAGTTTTTCCCTTTGTATATTCATTATTTTTAATTTTGTCTTTAATTTTAGAAATTATTCTATCATGATATTTCAAAATTTCATTTTTATAATACGAATAATAATAATCCATATCATCACCCGTTATATTATTATTATATTTTTGGAGATATGCTTTTAAACTGTAATAATCAAGAAAATTTTGATTAAGTACTAAATCATCAATTAAAATTTTTAAATCTACGCTATTCATTTATATAAAAATAAAATAAATGTTTTAAGGGTGCCCACCTCTTTGAATCATAGTATCAAAACCATCATTAACGGTTCCTTTTGTCTCTTCTGTGGCATTTTATTAAAAATAAAATTTTAAATTGTATTAAATAAATGGCATACAACATCCATTTTCACAACATACAGCCTTAGTGTGTGCTCCTGTTAATGCGGTCTTACCGATTGTTAAGCGAGTCATTGACCCATTTTTAAGTTGTAAATTAATATTCTGACCATCAAATATCACTTTATCATTTATTATATCCAAATAATTTTTAGGTGTTAATTGTTTATTTTGTCGTAAACTAACACCTTTCATTTTTTGTGCAATCTTTTTAAAATCACTTCCATCAATTGAACCATTGAATGATGTATAACATTTAGGACATAAAGCAACCATGTTATCACCTTGTTTCTCAATTGCTAAACCCAATAATTTTTTCTCATGTGCTTTTTCTTCAGCTTTATTCTTTAATTTAGGTTTAAATTTCTCATCAAAACAGAAGAAATCAAAAGGTGCGAATTTGAAAATGTTTTTATCATAAAATTTTTTATCGGTAACAATTGCTTGAAATGCTTGAGTGTTAGGAAGATTTGGGTCGCCAGCGATTGCCCAATAAGATGAATCGGTATCACCTTCAATGAAATGAAAACGATTAACATCCATGCATTTATACATAAAATCATAAATGAAAACCAAATACCAGTATTTAGCATTATCTAAAGTGAAGAATGCCTCTTGTAAACATGTATCACATCTATAAAATCTATCTTTAAGCATCACTTGATATGTATCCTCTCCTATTTCTCTTATGTTTTTAAACTTATTTGACATACATGCAACGCGTGCCTTCTGTGCATTCATTATTTTAGTCTTTGTGTAATTTTGTGTATTCATTGCATCGTAACCATATGATCCATTAAGTGAAATCTTACAAAATAAACTTTTTCCTTTATTTCCTTCTAATTCAGCCTTTTGTCTTTCGTTCATAAATTCGTTCGCAAATTCATTAAAACAGGTGTTTTTCGTAAATGTTAAAATTGATTGAATGTCATCAATGATAAAATGAAATCTGTCTATTAGATACCAAAGATAATAAGAAGAAAATGGTTGATATTGGTTGTGTGTTGATGCTAACTGAGTTAATTTCCTCTGTTTCTGGTCAACTGGTAGATTGTTTGATTTCATGTAATTATACATGAAACTACCAATTGTTTTTTCATCTGTGATAATATCTAAGTTTCTTATTATCGGTAAAAAGTTTATGTAATCATTAATGTATTTTTCATCAAGGTGACCCTTTACTTCAGCCACGAATAAAGTATTTTTCTTTCTAATAATTCCCAATGCTTTTGCTTTCTTTGTTGCTGTATCACAAATGATAACACCATTCAATCTTCCCGGCATATACATTTTATGGTCAGTATATTGAATGAAAACATGAGGATTAGATGAAAATGATGAAGGATATAATGAATTAAAATCAACACCAACGAAATGAGTCATAATGTTGGTGGTGTCCTCATTTGATACAGTTTTAGTTTCTGGACTATATGAAAGTTTATTAATGTGCGTGATTCCTTTAAGATTAACACGATGTTGGACATTTGATAAACCACCAGTAATTCCATTACGGAGAATGTGATAAGCTTCAACTGAATCTAAAGTCATTGGTAAATTATTTTTTAATGTATAATTTCTTAAATTGATTCTTAAACGTTGAACATCTTCATCTTTATTTGATTTTACGACATTGCAATAACAACACATTAACTGACAATTTTCTTTAGTATGTGGTTTTTCATTATCGATTCTATCCAATGTTGGTTTATTTGCATATGTAAACGCTTTACCACACATTTTACATTTAGATGAAAGGATTAAATCGTGATAGTATTGAAAATCATCCATTGAAACATTATTTTTAGTATCCCTTTCTGCTTTTTCATCTTGTTTCTTATATGAATCAATTTTATATTTCCAATACTTTTTTGTTAATTCAAAACTTGATTCCACATTTTCTTCTTCTGGATATGTTTCGTTAGGATTAAAGTCTTTATATGCTAAAGCGTAACGAATCATTGATGCATTCGATGATAAAGAAAGATTATGAAGCATGTCAATTTTATAAACAAATGTTTCTTCAATAATTTTATCAATTGGGTCAATCATAATTTCAACATCTTTATTGCAATAATGAATAAAATATTCTAATCTATTCTCAAAATTTTTAGCATCATTGAGATATATTTGATAATCTGAATCGGATATTGTTTCTTGAGTTAATGCTGAATAAAATGAATCTTTCGTGAATGGTTCCTCTTTATATAATTCTTCTTCGTAATTTTCCCATGTGATGAATTGATAAGGGAAAAAGGATTTAACACGTGATTTATTGTTTCCGAAATCTTGAGTGAATTGGTCTAATGTCCCACCCGCGATATAATTTCTGATGTCAATAAATCTTAATTCATATGGATAGTTTGTTTTCTTTACTATGACTTGCTTAAATTGTGAAGATGAACCCAGCATTGATTTTATCTTCCATTTTGCAGTATTTAAATCACGAAGAATTAAATTTAAATCAAACTTTCCCGAATTAAAACCTATGATATTCACTTTATTAAATTCTTCATCTAAAAGTTCTTTAAATGCTTCCTTCTGTTTTTCATTTAATGTATGAGACAAAGTCCCCGCCGTTTGGTCCGTTTGCGACTTCATTAATTCTTCATATTGTTCAATATTTGATTTAGCAACTAATGAACAGGTTGAAAATAAAAACTCAATCCAATCAGAAATAAAAGAATCACTCGAAGTTAAGCAAAAATTCCTCGTATATGTTTCATCGTTTAATTTAACCGTTGATGATACCATGAATGGTTTTAAGTAAGCGTTTAAAGTTGCACACTCAGAAAGTTGTAATTCTTCTTTAGTCTCTAATGTTTCGAAGTCAAAAGTAATATAATATCTTGTTGGTTTATAATATTCCTGCAAATTATGTGCTAATAACCATTGATATATCTTCTGTTTCGTAATATGTGGTGCATATGGTTGCTGTGTGTTTTGCAATTGAACGTCTTGAATTAATCTTCCATTATTTTCTTTACATTTCTCACAATGTTTTAAAAATCTTCTTTGGTTTTTCCTTTCTGGATCATCACGGATAGAATAAACTTCTTCTTTACAATATGGACAAACTTTATAGCCGGTGAGTGCTTCAACGTCTGTTATTCTGTCAGCGTGAAGTTTTCCACATGGACTCTGTGTTAATAAAATATTTACTGTTTCAAATTCTGGATCTATCATTATTGATTCCACTAATGGAAAGTCTACCTTTTATGTCACGTCTTCTGGTTGAGGATCACAATAATAAAATCAATATTAACATTTAACATTCTCGCTAATCTCTCACTTTCTGATGAAATGTCAAACCCTTCATATGCATCTATTGCTTCATTTAAATAGCTTCTACGAGTTTTAGGATTAACACCATCAGGAATGTTATAGAAGCGTTTAAATAACCTTCTACCTTCTGCTCTAATTTGATTATCATTCATTTTAGCTGTTCCGTTTTTGTTCATTTATGTAAGAATAAAAATTAAAAAATAAATAAAAATAAAGTTTATTTTTTTTAAAGTCCGAGACTCAGAGAGTCCAGGGCTAAAGTCCATAAAATGAATTAAGAACACATAAATTTTTATCATCTGCGACGTGACGAATACATTTTAATTTACTCAAGAATGCGTACCCTGATACATTAAATCTAATTCCTGTCTTATTTAATTTCACAACTTTGAAAAGGAATGTATGAATAGCTATAAAATGATGAGATGATGTTTTATGGGTTGCTTCCATTTTTTCTGAAATAAATGAATAAATATAATGTTTATAAGTTTTCATATCTTTTATGTTCTTAATAACGAATGGTATAGACCTTTCACTTCGTCTTCCTTCGGTGCTGTTCTTTCATATGAAACATTATTGGTATCTTCAATAATGAAACCACAATCGCATAAAATTTTATATGTTACCAATGGTTTCTTTTGATATATTTTATCTAATAAATCAAAAACTTTATCAACACCTGTGCATTTATTTAAATAATAATTTGTGTAAATATCATGGTCTTCTTTCTTAATCGTATTTGTTGCATATGTTACATTTTTCAGTGCTTTTTTGAATTTTTCAGAATCTAAAGGTGGTGAAAGCAGGATACAAGGATAATCTTCATCGTCAATAAACTGAAGCTTATGTTTATGAATAAATTTTGTACCTTCTTCTGAAAGTGTTTCGTCAATATCACCATCTAATAAATTTTTAGTAGATTCCAAAAAGTAATTTTTATATCTTTCCTCATGTGATTTTTGAACTTCTGATTCTGAAGCTGGGATATTCATTAAACCCTCTACTTCATTCTCATTATATTTTTCAACTTCTCTTAATTCCTTAATTCTTTCATCTATTTCTTTTCTTGATTGTTCCAATTTCAATCTCATCGTTATAATATTCATCTGTTTAATCCGTTCTTCATAATATTCAGGGAAAACATCAGGTTCTTTAGGTTTTTCTTCTTCAGATGTGGGATATAAGAAATTTATAACATCATCTTTATTCATTTTTCCATCATAATCTAAATCATTTAATAACTCCGCGAATTTTTTACAATTTCTTAAATAATATTTATCAACCTCATAACCCGCCTCCTCTAATATATCCTTTATTTCCTCGTTTGTGAATCCTAATTTTTTAACGTTGTTAGTTTTGACGCTCATTTCATACAAAATAAAAAAATAAAATAATAAACATAACTAAGTTTTAATTTTTCGTAAGACATGAATTTTTAAAGTTTATTTTTCATTCATGAAAATAATTATTTTCAATTTCTTCTTCTCGTTTATGAGGTCTTTGATTATGACTCCATTGATTCCATGAAATTAAATATTCTTTATCATTATATTTATACCTCATTAGCTTATTTTGGCTTTCATATTCATTTAATAATTCACAATCTTCATTTTTAAATTGAAGTTTAACCCATTCATGATTTAAACAATGTTTAATTAATCGCGGAATATCTGACATCATCTATATATAGCTTCTTTTATAAAAGATAAAAATAAATTATTTTAAAATTAATGTTAATTTTTCGTAAGACATGAATTTTTAAAGTTTATTTTTTAAATTTTTTACTTCATTATGTAAAGGGTTTGTGAAAATTTCTTACGATTCTGAAAATTTTTAAATCATGATTTATTTCAAAACGTAAGAATAAAAAGCGTAAGAAACATACATTTATTTTATCGATTGTATGAAAATTACTTACAAAATCGGTCAATATTGTGTGAATTCTTACGTTTACAAAAAAAGTCACAAAACCCGCATACATATACTACTTTTTTGGGTTGTGATGATATTCACGGTTTAATTTTCGATATTTGCTAATTTTGCAATATTTTGAATAATACAGTATTGCTCTTGATAAAAACATTTTATTTTTTTATTTTTGATGAATTCGTCGCGATTAAAAAAGTTAACTCCGATGAATTCTTCGAGAATTATCACATCTAGTAGACCACAGTCAACTCTAAATTCTTCTCGAACTATCAGAATAACAACTCAACGGCCTGAGAAACGTACAATCCGGGCGAGTACAACTTCAATTTCAGGAAATCAAAGCTTATCCGAACAATTTACTAGATTAAATCAAGAAATTGCCCAAATTCAGTGCGAAGTAAAGCCCTTAAGATCTCAATACATTGCATTACAAAATTCACTTCTAGAAAAACAACAAAAATCTAACTTCAATGATGAAATTGACCCTGAAGATGACGATCAAGCTGTTAATAAAGAAGAATTTCAAACAGCAAAATTTAAATTTGAAAATGAAAGCGTTAAATTACAAAAACAGCTTGACATGATTAGGTCTGCACTTTCAATTACTCAAATTAATACACTAGAAGAGGAAGAAGAGAATGGAAAGCGTTTAGTACAAACTCTTCGAATGAATATCATGCAAATGGATGAAGAAATAGATAAGCAGCAAAACCAGATTAATTCATACAGACTTTCTCAGATATATGATACAATTCAAAAGCAAAAAGACGAAATTCAAAAACTATCTCAAGAATTACAAGACGAAATTACTAAACATGAGCAGCTTAGAGCCCAGAGAGATGGGTTCGAAGAGTCTTCAACGATGTCAAGCGAGTTTGCAGAAGACGTTAATCAGATCGGTAGACTCAAAAGGAAGCTTGAAGCAGCAAGGAGAAAGCACTTCGAAAAATGCAAAGTATTCCTCCAGTTAAGGAACAAGCAATTGGCTGAAATTGAAGAGGTGAAAGCGGCCATCAACAAAGACAATCTTGCTGACGATAATTAGCTTAACATCAGTTCTTTATGTTATTTTTTCATACTATGATTTGTTTGTTAAATAATATTATTAATAATTTGTTTGGATGAATATTTAACCAATTATACTATGTCTTTTGGAATTTGGGCCCAATATAAATTATGGAAATCTTTAATGTTTGATGAAATGAGGCTTTTTAAAATAAGCGGATCATTGGATTGCCTATTCCTATTAGAACAAAGAAAGTTTGACCAATTTTCAAATGTTGTAATTGCTTACAACATTGTAAGAAAACATTGACAAAAAATAATGATGCAAGAGGCTTGAGATTCAGAATGAAATATAAACACATATACAGATAGTTATTAGTGAAGTTTGGCGCCAATTGTATGTTGGGATTCTGAGATATGAATAATGAGAAATTGAATGGATGAAACTCAGACTTGAGTTTTGAAATTTTTAATGTTTGTCGAATTATTCAATGAGTACTCATTGATTCTCTAAGAAATTCATTTCTGAAAATCCAATTTCTTTTTCAAAATATTCAATGAATGTTTTCAATTTCAATTTATATATTTATGGCTAATGAGGAATTGTTAGAAACCATTTGTAACCAAATCAAGAGCGAGACAAAAGACTTTGAAGAGATTATTAATAAATTGTATCACTTAACCATTGAAGATGGGGACCAATTGGGCAAAATTTTTAATGATATCAAATCGATTTTAATTGACAAATACAAAATCGAACGTATTACAATTGTAAGACTCCTTACTAAGGCTTCGTGCATGAATCATCGTTCTTCCGAACAATATTGGAATTTATTAAAATTATGCTTTATTAATTTCAAATTAACACAATCAGAAATTGAGAATTTAGATACAAATCTAGCAATTTACTTACAAGGAGACATTTCATTTGATGATCTTGAAATTCCTTATCAATTTAGGATGCCAAAGAACGACGAACTGCATCATATTATAATGTATGATGACATTAAAATGTTTCTCGAATATATATTGCAAAATGATTTAAAGCCAAAAGAATTATTTCATTTTACTAGTAGATCAGAGCCATTATATCCTATTGAATGCTGTTCATTCTACGGAGCAGTTAATATTTTCTATCATTTACTCAATAATTTCAACAGTGAAATTACAACATTTTGTATGGAGGTTTCATTTATCGGAGCGAACATAGATATTATTAACGAATGCGTTAAAGTCAAAAAGCTTAATAGAAAGGCATTGAAAAATGCAATTTACTCATATAATAATAAGATATTGACGGAAATTTTAGAGAAATCTGACTTAAAAATAAGCTCCAAAGCAGCAATAAAAGCTCTAAATCAAGAAGCAATGCTAATGGCTATCAAATATAACTTTGACGACTTCATATTATATCTTGCTTCTTTTCCTTTTCAAAATTATTCAATACCATTGCTCAAAGTATATATTGAAGGCAATGAAGAAGTGAAAAAGGATATAGATAAACTTCAGCCAATATTTTTGAGTTCAATTGTAAATAATCGTATTGAACTCTGCAAGTTTTTACTTTCTCTTAATGTTAATGTAAATTATGACAAATTTGAAGACCAACCGCTTCAATATGCAGCAATTTATAATAGAAAAGAAATTGCAGAAATTTTAATTTCTCATGGTGCAGATGTCAATCAAAAGAATGAACATGGATGGACACCACTCCAAAGATCTGCTTATTTCAATAACATAGAGATAAAAAAATATTACTTTCACACAATTGTGAAATTGATTTGGAAGATAACAATGGATTCACAGCATTGCATTATGCAGTCAGAGATGATATCGTTGATATCTTGAATTTACTAATTGAAAATGGAGCAAAAATTGATTCAAAAGATGTTGAAGGAAAAACTCCTTTTTACAAAGCAATCTTATTCAATTCATTACGAGCTGCTGAAATATTCTTAAAGCATGGAGCCGAAATTAATGTGATATCAAAATCAGGCAAATCATTACTACATGAGTCATCAGTTCTGCACTCAAAAGAGACAGTAGAATTTCTTATTTCTCATGGTATCGATATTAATCGAAAAAATAAGAAAGGAATGACTCCTTTAGTTGTTTCTATTCTAAATGAAATGCAAGATGTTTCGCTAATTCTAATTAACAATGGCGCAGATATTAATGCAGTAGATAATCAAGGATTTCCAATTCTTTATTATGCACTTTATGCAAAAATGGAATACGTTGCATCAGTATTAATAGAAAAAGGTGCTAATGTAAACTATAATTTTCAAGATGGAACAAGTCTTCTTGAGCTTGCAAAACGTGATAATTCATACGAAATTGTAATGTTACTTAAGCTATATGGTGTAGAAAAAGAATCTGATAGTGATGAAATAGAAAATTTTGAAAATATTGTTATTGATCATAACAACAAACCATCTTCTTTGCATTTTGATTGCGATGCTGACACAAATTTAGGATAGAATGAAAATCAAATATAAAATTCATTCATGTTTTATAAAATGTATATTGTTTTATTGCTTATGTTTTTAATTTTTCGGGATGTGATCTAAGTAAGAGCGCTTTGGGCGTTTTTGAGTTATAGATATAAAGTTCACTCATTTCACATTGAATTCTAAAATTTTATAAAAATCTTGAAAGGAAAAATGTGAATATTTAAACTTAAAAGGGCTCTTTAAGGGGTAAAAATGTCAAGGCACTATGGCCGAGTGGTTAAGGCGTGGGATTTGAGTCCCCATGGGCTTGTCCCGCATCGGTTCAAATCCGGTTGGTGTCGTTTTTTTGCTTTTTGCACAAATACATTCACGCATAACTGATAAGATCAAAAAATATCAATTTCTGCTCACTTGTAGGTCAATTTCTATATATGTATTTTAAACTATTCGAATGTGCTTTTATCATTCATGACAATTAAAGTGATCAGAAGCATTGTTCATATCATCGGAATCATTGCAACAAAAAATCTCATTGGCTCATTACATTAAAGAATGTTCAAAACAATCGTGACATTAATATGAACAGTTTTGATTGTCACTTTTCAATTCAAAAATTTGATTTGCTTATAGAATTTTGTTAAAGAAACGAGACAACATTACATGTAGATTTTGTAAAACAAAATAAATGGAAGATGAAATTGAAGATAGAACATTCTTTATTCAATTCTTTCTTTTCATTGGAAACTAATCATATCATTTAACATGTGCTTTCTGAATATAAGAGCTCTAGTTCGATTTCTATTGGCAAAAATAGTCTTCTACTCTATATTTTTGATCTTATCAGTTATGCGTGAATGTATTTGTGCAAAAAGCAAAAAAACGACACCAACCGGATTTGAACCGATGCGGGACAAGCCCATGGGGACTCAAATCCCACGCCTTAACCACTCGGCCATAGTGCCTTGACTTTCATTTCAAGTGAGTCTACTTATAATGTATTACAGAGTGGTTGGTGTTGGGGGTTAAGGGCCACCTGGCCTCCTCAACACCCGGGTACCCAGAAAAAAGTGGTTTTAAAAACAATCTTAAGAATGACATAACTATATTATTAATATTGTGCTACAAAAAATTAGATAATATCCAAAATTTACCGATATTTACTTGAATGATTTTTGGTATTTTGTTTTGTACCGAAATGGCTAACAAAAAAGTGACAGAAAACCTTAAATTGCGCGGCAATTTTAATTAAAAAATAAACATTAATTTTTGTGATTGATATTATGCATTTTTTTATATTATATAAGATTTAAATTTAGGGGAAAAATTGGAAAAAAAATAAGATTGGAAGTCTTTAGGTAAGAAGGAAAGGGCAAGAGATATATAGTGTACCTATATACCTCTTGCCCTTTCATTCTAAGTAGAAATGGGAGAAACTTTGTCCGCATCATAAGTTATGCGGACAAAGTTTCTCCGATTTCTAATGGGAATTGCAGGCTATGAGGCACTGATATATAATCAGTACCTCATAGCCTACAATTCCCCTTATTAGACTTCCAAACTTTGAGGTAATCTCTTGACATTAACTCAAAGTTTGGAAAACTTCTCGTAAGAATCAATCGTCAAAAACCTCGATTGCAGTTATATTCATTGTGTTAAATTTGATTTATTTTGAAATTTTTATAAATTAAATTTTATATAACATAAAGCGTTATGAATTAGTATTTCCATATGAATTTTATCTCGAAAATAGTAATTCTGTACAGTTATATTTCGGTTAATTTTGGAAATTTCTAGGAATACTTTAAGATAGTATGATTATATATAACTCTGCCTTCATGATTTATTTTAGCTTTCGCGCAAATATCAGTTAACTTAACTCCATTATTTGATTTTGTGATGGCTTCACAAAGCCAATCAATATCAATCTCTTCTGGAGAATGTTTTCTCATCTAGAATATTTTCAATACTTTACATACAAACATTTTTATTTCTAAAAAACTTTTTAATTTTTTCTAGGATATCTGAATGAAAATAGTTAGAACAAGATTTTGAAGCTCAAAACATTAAAAATTATTAAAGATTTGTATAATATGATTAAAAATGGGAAATAATATGAGGCAATATAAAGGAATATGAATATTAAATAAATATATCTAAATAGAAAGAATCAGAAAAATCAAATTATTGGCGCCAAAAATTTCACCTTTTTGGTGAGCCATTTCGGTATGAGATATGATTTTTGGTATTTAAACATTAGTATGAATATTTTGACAAATAAGCTTCAAACCAGAAAATAAATTACATTGCCATAGTCATCCATATTCAATAACAATACAAATTAACTCAATAAATCGTGATTCTACATCTTTCAACCGCCTTTCAATTTAAATGATATATAATGCGTTATAAGTTAAAACAATCAATTCCGAAGTGATAAAGTATCAATTTATTTTCAATATTTCAAGTTTTCATAAACAAACATAATAAACATGTACAATATATAGTCTCCCACTTGCTCTAACAAAAGTAATATAATTTACACAATTAAAGCCGTTTCAGTTATATTATCGTTGTTACTACGCTTGTTGATAATAAACCTTACAACAAAGAAAGCAGCAACAGCTATTAAAGCAATAATAACTAATGAAACAACAATAGCAACTGTTGTCTTTGATTTTCCACTAGAAGATGTATTGCTCTCTGATATATTAGTTTGGTTTGTTGGCGGAGTTGAAGGTGACGAAGATGAAGGTTCTGAAGTTGGTATTTCAGGCTTTTCAGCTCTTAATTTATGATATTTTTTCAAGAAATCTCTATTTTCTTTGAGATTTGTTTCATTTCCAAGATAAACAAGTGGCATATGACTTTGTTTGTAAACATTGATTGTCATTGAAGCTCTCATACCTGGATCGTGCCATAAAGTTGTCATCTTCAAATTTGTATCTAAGTTTGTAGTAAAAATAACAATTTCACTCCAATTAGATGCTGCCATTATGAACTCCTCTCTCCAATCTCCTAAAATATCACCATGGAATAAAGGATAATCTCCATCATCGTCATATTTCAAATCTGTCCCATATTTATTATTAAACAAAGTGGTTGAAGTTAGGTAACGAATAGATTTGTTATTTTCAGCATCAAATTTAATAACTAATCCTCGATTGATGGTAGAAGGACTAAGGGTTCCCTCCCAGTACAAATTGTTTGCTGGCCATAAGAAATCGGTGAAATTTTCAACCAATAAATCATTTGTTTTCTCATTATATAAACCATCGAACGAATATACTTCATAACCTGGCTTTGATGGATCAAAATCACCAGCATTGCCTCTTCCTAAGTCATGAACATATGTGATAGCACATTTTATTAAATTACGAGAAACATATATATATGTGTATATTGTAGATATAGTACCTAAATCTATGAAGTTCTCATATATTCAAAATGATTTGTTGGATGTTAAATTTTCATAGATGATGGAGTATACCACACAGATCAACTTTTCTCTCAAACTTGATCTTACTATAGTCGAAAGTTTTTCGACTGTGAGGTTATTTTCACAGCACAATATTATTTTTCTTATGATATTTTTATCATCGCTTTATCATCATTAAATATTCAAATCTCCCCTTTTTTTTAAAAAAAAATACTTTTAAGAATTTTTTTAGTAAAGGTTAGTAAAACGAAATCTAACATTAACCCTAATTCATATAATTAGCTGTTCTTTATTGTGCTAGTGATATTTGTAATATATTTACTAAATTGTTTGCAGGTTGAACTAAATTGACTCCGAAATGCTGACTTATAAATGATTATAATGCCTTTTAATTAAGCTTATATCTTAAATGAATGAGCGACTTCGTTTTGCGCAAAAAAATATAATACTGTAAACATTGAATTTTTCAAACCGTTTTCCCCTATGAAAATCTTTTCAAATTCTTTTTCAATGAAAAATATTTTTAAAGTTTTTCAATGAAAAATATTTTATAAGCCAATATAATCACGTATTTTGTTATATGCTTTGAATGATCATTCAAAATTGAATGCAATAAAATATCCTATTCTAAGGATATTCAATATTATAAAATTTTAGATGCAATAGTTTATATCAATTACAATTATTAAATGAGATGCTACAAAATATATATTTTTCAATGTGATCCATTTTATATTTAATTTTTTAAATAGCTATTGAAATCATAAAATGATATTGTCTCTACTCCTCGTTGCTCAGCTAGATGTGCATACATGCAATCATGATCTTGAAATGGGTAACATAACAAGAGAACTTCAAGGACCTCAATCATATCGCAGCCTTAAAAATACCGAATGGAAAAACATCAGAATTAAGGTAGATTATAATTATATTGATAATACAAAAGATGATGAACGAACTTGTAAACGAGCTGGACAACTAGTTGTATTCCAAGGCGTAAGATATATTTGCAAACAGGAACATATTTTGTCATATTCAAAAATTTTGGCTATTAAAGGAACACTTAATAATGTCAAATCATATTTAGAGAGACTTCTTACAGTAATTCCATTCAATTATAATATTAATTATGTGGACTTTCGTAGCCGTTATGGATACGAGACGAATTTTGGCAAACAAAGCGCATACGGTGCCGATATAGTACTTGCAGTACTTTCAAGACCGAGACAGGATAATGATGCTACTCTCGCATCAGCTGCTGGATTAGCAGAAGAGAGAACATATCACAGACCAATATTTGGTGTCGTTTTCTTAAATCCAATGGCAGTTCCTGATACAGCACAAGATGAAAACTCAAATGATTCAAGATTCTTTTATACTTGCGTTCACGAAATTTTCCATGCTTTGGGTATTTCTCAATCAGATTTCCGACACTATCATCCACATGATTCCATAACTCCACATTCACAAATAGTATGCAGTTTCAGAAAGTATGGAAGAGACTTTTCGTTCTTAGTAACACCATACGCTCATAAATTTGCAGTGAAGCGCTTTGGAGTAGAAGTTTTCGTAGGAGATGACAGAACTTGCCCATCTGGATTAGAAATCGAAAATGATGGCGGTCAAGGAACAGCAGGAAGTCATTTAGAAGCAAGATCTTACATGTCAGATTTGATGGTTGGCATGACAATTCAAACAAAATCTGGACCATATTCCAGGTTGACTGATGCTGTTCTTGCAGTTCTTATGGATACAGGTAACTACAAAGTTAACTGGAGAATGGGACAACCATTAGTATGGGGCCACCCAGAATCAATTGATGGAAAACCAATTCCAAACTTTGCAATTGGTCCTCCACAAAATGTTTTCCCTAAGTATTATATGAGAGACTTCTCAGTACAAGAAGATTGGTATGCAAGTTTTGATTTCAAATTCTCCGGACCGTTTTCAGGACCTGCACATATTAGAGCAAGTTATAGCGAAAAACAATTTTATGATCCAAAAGGCATTGGAGTTGGTACAACACAAGTTTATGATTTCATTCCATTTTATTTTCCAAATTATGTTTGTCCTAATGGACAAGCTATTCTTCCATCAACAACGTCATATTATTACCACAAATGCGGTACATATACATGCGACGGATATAAATCGTTCACAATTCAAGTCAATAAAGATCTAGCTGCAACTCAGTTTGAAAGTGTCACATGCACAAAAGATAATGCAACAGCTGTATTATCTATGTCAGTAAGCGGTTATCGCAGACAAGTTTCTTGTGTTGATCCTGAGAGATTCTGCAGGTCTGTGAAACTTAACGAAATGAAGTTTGTTGTTGACCCATTCAATCCAGATACAAGGCAATTGAATAGTGATTCTCCAACACCGACACAGCCTGAAACTTTATGCAAAAATGGAATACGTTGCATCAGTATTAATAGAAAAAGGTGCTAATGTAAACTATAATTTTCAAGATGGAACAAGTCTTCTTGAGCTTGCAAAACGTGATAATTCATACGAAATTGTAATGTTACTTAAGCTATATGGTGTAGAAAAAGAATCTGATAGTGATGAAATAGAAAATTTTGAAAATATTGTTATTGATCATAACAACAAACCATCTTCTTTGCATTTTGATTGCGATGCTGACACAAATTTAGGATAGAATGAAAATCAAATATAAAATTCATTCATGTTTTATAAAATGTATATTGTTTTATTGCTTATGTTTTTAATTTTTCGGGATGTGATCTAAGTAAGAGCGCTTTGGGCGTTTTTGAGTTATAGATATAAAGTTCACTCATTTCACATTGAATTCTAAAAATTTATAAAAATCTTGAAAGGAAAAATGTGAATATTTAAACTTAAAAGGGCTCTTTAAGGGGTAAAAATGTCAAGGCACTATGGCCGAGTGGTTAAGGCGTGGGATTTGAGTCCCCATGGGCTTGTCCGCATCGGTTCAAATCCGGTTGGTGTCTTTTTTTGCTTTTTGCACAAATACATTCACGCATAACTGATAAGATCAAAAAATATCAATTTCTGCTCACTTGTAGGTCAATTTCTATATATGTATTTTAAACTATTCGAATGTGCTTTTATCATTCATGACAATTAAAGTGATCAGAAGCATTGTTCATATCATCGGAATCATTGCAACAAAAAATCTCATTGGCTCATTACATTAAAGAATGTTCAAAACAATCGTGACATTAATATGAACAGTTTTGATTGTCACTTTTCAATTCAAAAATTTGATTTGCTTATAGAATTTTGTTAAAGAAACGAGACAACATTACATGTAGATTTTGTAAAACAAAATAAATGGAAGATGAAATTGAAGATAGAACATTCTTTATTCAATTCTTTCTTTTCATTGGAAACTAATCATATCATTTAACATGTGCTTTCTGAATATAAGAGCTCTAGTTCGATTTCTATTGGCAAAAATAGTCTTCTACTCTATATTTTTGATCTTATCAGTTATGCGTGAATGTATTTGTGCAAAAAGCAAAAAAACGACACCAACCGGATTTGAACCGATGCGGACAAGCCCATGGGGACTCAAATCCCACGCCTTAACCACTCGGCCATAGTGCCTTGACTTTCATTTCAAGTGAGTCTACTTATAATGTATTACAGAGTGGTTGGTGTTGGGGGTTAAGGCCACCTGGCCTCCTCAACACCCGGGTACCCAGAAAAAAGTGGTTTTAAAAACAATCTTAAGAATGACATAACTATATTATTAATATTGTGCTACAAAAAATTAGATAATATCCAAAATTTACCGATATTTACTTGAATGATTTTTGGTATTTTGTTTTGTACCGAAATGGCTAACAAAAAAGTGACAGAAAACCTTAAATTGCGCGGCAATTTTAATTAAAAAATAAACATTAATTTTTGTGATTGATATTATGCATTTTATTTATATTATATAAGATTTAAATTTAGGGGAAAAATTGGAAAAAAAATAAGATTGGAAGTCTTTAGGTAAGAAGGAAAGGGCAAGAGATATATATGTGTACCTATATACCTCTTGCCCTTTCATTCTAAGTAGAAATGGGAGAAACTTTGTCCGCATCATAAGTTATGCGGACAAAGTTTCTCCGATTTCTAATGGGAATTGCAGGCTATGAGGCACTGATATATAATCAGTACCTCATAGCCTACAATTCCCCTTATTAGACTTCCAAACTTTGAGGTAATCTCTTGACATTAACTCAAAGTTTGGAAAACTTCTCGTAAGAATCAATCGTCAAAAACCTCGATTGCAGTTATATTCATTGTGTTAAATTTGATTTATTTTGAAATTTTTATAAATTAAATTTTATATAACATAAAGCGTTATGAATTAGTATTTCCATATGAATTTTATCTCGAAAATAGTAATTCTGTACAGTTATATTTCGGTTAATTTTGGAAATTTCTAGGAATACTTTAAGATAGTATGATTATATATAACTCTGCCTTCATGATTTATTTTAGCTTTCGCGCAAATATCAGTTAACTTAACTCCATTATTTGATTTTGTGATGGCTTCACAAAGCCAATCAATATCAATCTCTTCTGGAGAATGTTTTCTCATCTAGAATATTTTCAATACTTTACATACAAACATTTTTATTTCTAAAAAACTTTTTAATTTTTTCTAGGATATCTGAATGAAAATAGTTAGAACAAGATTTTGAAGCTCAAAACATTAAAAATTATTAAAGATTTGTATAATATGATTAAAAATGGGAAATAATATGAGGCAATATAAAGGAATATGAATATTAAATAAATATATCTAAATAGAAAGAATCAGAAAAATCAAATTATTGGCGCCAAAAATTTCCCCTTTTTGGTGAGCCATTTCGGTATGAGATATGATTTTTTGGTATTTAAACATTAGTATGAATATTTTGACAAATAAGCTTCAAACCAGAAAATAAATTACATTGCCATAGTCATCCATATTCAATAACAATACAAATTAACTCAATAAATCGTGATTCTACATCTTTCAACCGCCTTTCAATTTAAATGATATATAATGCGTTATAAGTTAAAACAATCAATTCCGGAGTGATAAAGTATCAATTTATTTTCAATATTTCAAGTTTTCATAAACAAACATAATAAACATGTACAATATATAGTCTCCCACTTGCTCTAACAAAAGTAATATAATTTACACAATTAAAGCCGTTTCAGTTATATTATCGTTGTTACTACGCTTGTTGATAATAAACCTTACAACAAAAAAGCAGCAACAGCTATTAAAGCAATAATAACTAATGAAACAACAATAGCAACTGTTGTCTTTGATTTTCCACTAGAAGATGTATTGCTCTCTGATATATTAGTTTGGTTTGTTGGCGGAGTTGAAGGTGACGAAGATGAAGGTTCTGAAGTTGGTATTTCAGGCTTTTCAGCTCTTAATTTATGATATTTTTTCAAGAAATCTCTATTTTCTTTGAGATTTGTTTCATTTCCAAGATAAACAAGTGGCATATGACTTTGTTTGTAAACATTGATTGTCATTGAAGCTCTCATACCTGGATCGTGCCATAAAGTTGTCATCTTCAAATTTGTATCTAAGTTTGTAGTAAAAATAACAATTTCACTCCAATTAGATGCTGCCATTATGAACTCCTCTCTCCAATCTCCTAAAATATCACCATGGAATAAAGGATAATCTCCATCATCGTCATATTTCAAATCTGTCCCATATTTATTATTAACAAAGTGGTTGAAGTTAGGTAACGAATAGATTTGTTATTTTCAGCATCAAATTTAATAACTAATCCTCGATTGATGGTAGAAGGACTAAGGGTTCCCTCCCAGTACAAATTGTTTGCTGGCCATAAGAAATCGGTGAAATTTTCAACCAATAAATCATTTGTTTTTCTCATTATATAAACCATCGAACGAAATATACTTCATAACCTGGCTTTGATGGATCAAAATCACCAGCATTGCCTCTTCCTTAAGTTCATTTCTCAGATATATGATACAATTCAAAAGCAAAAAGACGAAATTCAAAAACTATCTCAAGAATTACAAGACGAAATTACTAAACATGAGCAGCTTAGAGCCCAGAGAGATGGGTTCGAAGAGTCTTCAACGATGTCAAGCGAGTTTGCAGAAGACGTTAATCAGATCGGTAGACTCAAAAGGAAGCTTGAAGCAGCAAGGAGAAAGCACTTCGAAAAATGCAAAGTATTCCTCCAGTTAAGGAACAAGCAATTGGCTGAAATTGAAGAGGTGAAAGCGGCCATCAACAAAGACAATCTTGCTGACGATAATTAGCTTAACATCAGTTCTTTATGTTATTTTTTCATACTATGATTTGTTTGTTAAATAATATTATTAATAATTTGTTTGGATGAATATTTAACCAATTATACTATGTCTTTTGGAATTTGGGCCCAATATAAATTATGGAAATCTTTAATGTTTGATGAAATGAGGCTTTTTAAAATAAGCGGATCATTGGATTGCCTATTCCTATTAGAACAAAGAAAGTTTGACCAATTTTCAAATGTTGTAATTGCTTACAACATTGTAAGAAAACATTGACAAAAAATAATGATGCAAGAGGCTTGAGATTCAGAATGAAATATAAACACATATACAGATAGTTATTAGTGAAGTTTGGCGCCAATTGTATGTTGGGATTCTGAGATATGAATAATGAGAAATTGAATGGATGAAACTCAGACTTGAGTTTTGAAATTTTTAATGTTTGTCGAATTATTCAATGAGTACTCATTGATTCTCTAAGAAATTCATTTCTGAAAATCCAATTTCTTTTTCAAAATATTCAATGAATGTTTTCAATTTCAATTTATATATTTATGGCTAATGAGGAATTGTTAGAAACCATTTGTAA